CCGAATGGTAATAGTTATAAAGATCGTTTTTGAATCGACAAAGGCTTATCTTCTTCGTTGTCAGCCCTTTTGGAAGAACATTCCATACTCTTGCGCACCTAGAAAAGAATGACTTCTGGAATGTTACAGTCTTGCACTTTGGTGTGATGAACGTCAAGCACGCGGGGTTGGCTGATCGTGTTGATCTCTCCCGGTTCTGAATTGATGGTAGAACACTATCTTTAACTTTTATTATCCCATTGATGCATTTAAAGTAGAACACTAGATCCAAAAATTCGTGCCAATAGCAGAGTGGAATAAGGTCTAACATTTCGAGTCGCCTACTGTAGGTAATGTCGCAGATAAATGGTAGATCCAAGATATACTTGCTCGCGCGCCTCTGAATTCTCTCCGTCCGTTTAATCAGTTCCACAGTTTGTGGCGCCCAGACTTGAGATGCATAGCATAGCTTTGAACGTACAAGAGACAAATATAGAGTACGACGAACCAAGATAGATTTTATATCCAGTGTAGACCTCCTAACGTATCCGAGCATTCTCGTTGATTGAGCACATTGGTATTCAACATGTTTGGACCAAGTCAAATTGGAAGAAGTCCATACTCCTAAATCACGCTCTTGATCGGTGCTTTCTAGGACGGTATCATGTAGTTTGTAGGGATATTCTATTTTCTGATGTTTTCGGGTTATTCGGAAAACTTTACATTTTTCAGCGTTTAATATCAGGTTAACGTTACTAGAAAGTTCTTCAAAATTTGTTAGATCGTCTTGAAGCGAGGATGCATCACACATATTGTCGACTGTTCTAAAAATCTTTGTGTCGTCTGCAAAGGTTGCAATGCTAGATTTGTCCACGCTTTCGGACAGGTGGTTTTCGTACAAGAGAAACAGTAGTGGACCGAGAATCGAGCCTTGTGGGACTCCGGATGTCACCGGTAATGGTCTTGATATTGCTCCACCAACTGCTGTCTGTTGATAACGATTGTTGAGATAAGATGAAAACCAGTTTAGAATGTTACCTCGAAACCCGAACTCGCGCAATCGGTGCAAGAGCTGATCGTGACTTACTTTATCGAATGCCTTCGACATGTCCAAGTAGATTACGTCTATTTGCTTACCATGGTCTTTGTTTATTTATGTGGGTAGTCACGTGCAATACACTGAGAGATATCTAGCTGTTCTATATTATGCCGAGTTTTGTATAGCAGTAACATTTCAAAATTAATATAGCTAAAATTTTCTATTTTTGGAAATTTTGTTCCTGGAAATGTTTACACTCTCTGGGTATATCTAGGTCTGCTTTTTATATAAGATAAAATATGTCATAATTATGCAGAAATGCTAGCTTCGTATTGTCGGTTATTGAAAGGACGTGTGAAAATTGAGGAGGAAAATTCAGTTAATGATATAGGTTCCTATCAATCTATCACAAGTTGCAGAGTCTTTCAATGTGCGCTGTTAATTAGATTTAATGCTTTTTTGTTTTAGAGATATTATGTGCTGTTTCTAAATGTCTCTCCATTTTAAATTACAAGTACCCCGGGTATACTCAGCTTTTACTCTACTACGTTGTAAGTTTTAATTATTCCTATTGAACTCAACGTTTTCTGGAGGCTCTTTGCCATCCATTGCGGAAGATCCTTTCCACGTGCACATGATAAAATAATTAATTTAACCATTTGATTAATTTCACACAGGTTTCCCACGTTTTCGCAATTTTCTTACGGAGAAAACTCCAATACGATCATAAATAATCGCACTGAATTTGAAAATGGAAGAAAAAATTACAAGCAATCCACACTCGAATCTTCGCCGTGACCACAATTATGGTTGCACCAACCAAGGTGTTTGCAATCCCAAATATAAGTCTCGTGTCCCGCACATTGTGTGTCATCCAGCAGAATGAGACCAGTTCCTTGACCATAGTGTGCGCTAAGATAAACAGCAGTAGCTCTCTGGTATCCAAGCTGACGACAAATTACATGACCATCCTGCAAATCCAACGTATCATCACATACTGTTCCCCAACCATACGATGGATGATAGATTTCTACTCGGCCTTTGTTTGAAAAACCTGTGCCAGCCAATCTTATTTTCAACGAAGAAACGCCTAAACAGTAAAAAAATATTATATTTTTCTCTCCTTTCTAAATAAACCATACATTCTTCAACGAGAATCTGGAGGGGCGTCCTAAAAAATTGGTAAAATTAGAAAGTTGGAGGAAACCTCGCTACTTCTAGAAAGGTGGAATGGTTCAAATCAAATCAATTACCGAATACCGTGGCGCAGCAGGCCTAAGAATAATATTTGCAAAGAGACAAGCAAACTGGGCGAATTATTTCTTGAAACTTCTAAATCAATAAACAGACAAAATGCTAAAATTCCTAATTTCAAAAACTGACGCGAAATATAATATTTGGTATTTTTGATAATAATTCATACTCTAAATAATGAATATTCACAGCCTTGATTTCATAGCTTTCAATTTACTTGATTTTAATTTCCTACGCCATTTTCACAAGCATGCAGTCAACCACACTAAGCTATTAAGGAGGTTAAGATCGACTTCCACTACGAGTACCGATACCAAAAATCAGTCACGCGCATGCGCAAACGTAACAATCGTCCAAAATGTGACAACACTGGAAGTCGTGAGTACCGTTCTGGGGCTGAAATTGGAAGTGGATAGGTAGGCGAAGTACCAAATTATATTTACTGTATTATTGTCATTTTCTGCAGTAGTTTTCTAATAATATTATTAAGTTTTTAATTGTATAATGTTTTTGCTTTGTTTGGTGATACTTAAGGATTGTGATTAGAGTTTTTGATATGAATATAGCCGCTATACTCCGCCATGTTTATTTACTTCTTACGGAAGTCACAATCTTAACGCTTTAAAATTTCCGCCCTGCCAAACTGTAATACGTCATGTATTGTCATATCGGTACTGGTAATGGAAGTAGATCTTAACCTCCCTATTGCTCCAGCTGCGACTTCGCAACCTCCCCAAGCACCCCCACGCGCTTACTGCTTTTCTTCGCGAAGTACTTCAAAGAGCCTGAGAACGAGGCTGCAACATCCGTATTAATAGGACTTATCAAAACGTTCGTCTAACTCATTATGTTTGAGCCGCATCAAGCTTGTTAGTGACTATCAAGTCTGTCATCGTACACTACACTAGTGGCTACAATGTCATATTGCTGTAAATTGTATTTACATAAAAAATTTCTAAGCTGCCTTTCATCGTTTATCTACGAGCATTCTAACATCGTCAATAATCGTGTTTAGTGAAAAATGTTTAGTCAAAAATTATAATTTATATCCTAATACTATGACATACAGCGTGACGCGATTGCATATGAGCGCCTGGTTTGACAATTTATTTCACTATATGCCTAATAAAACGAGATAAATTCGACGCTTTGTTTAATTACCTATTTTCGACATCAATTTGAATTATGTTGTATTTTGAAACGAGAATATACGTACTCGGAAAAGGTTGCCCGTCAGCATTTCGACATTTGCAGGTGTAGGAACCACCGGTGTTAGAACAATCAGCATTTGAAGAGCATGAATGTGTTCCCAGAGAGCACTCGTTAACATCTGTCAACGCAATAATTACAGGTACTACAATGAACAATTGTCTATGATAAAACCAATGACGAATCATGCTCGTGTGTGACGTTACCTGAACATGTTTGACCGCATTTCCAGAATACCACTTCGACACTGACACGTTAGAACCAACTGTGTTGTACAATCAGCATTTGAGTGCAGACACTAGAAGAACACTCGTTCACATCTGTCGAAAAAAAATAGAAAATTCTAACAAAAACTAAATCCATTTCGGAAGTGCATTTATTGAGCTGATAACGTACAGTACTTTTATATGTACAGCAGTTCAAATAATAAATTCTATTTAACACTGCACCTGAACATGTTTGACCATTTCCAGAATAACCACTTCGACACTGACACGTGTAGGAACCAACTGTGTTGGTGCAATCAGCATTTGAGTGACAGACACTAGAAGAACACTCGTTCACATCTGTCAAGTCAAAATCGTAAGTGAATCAACGAAAATTAAATTTACTCTTGAAAAGAGCACTGATTAGAGCGAGAAAATATCGGTAAGTTACTGTAAAGCCAGTAGAGAGAGTTATGGAAACGCCTCAAGAAACTATACTGAACAAGTTTGACCATTCCAGAATAAGTGAAATCGCAATTAATAACAAACACTAATTACTCCGGCGTCAGCGATCGACAGGTTGAGAATTCGCAAAGGTTTGTTTTGTTTTTGTTTTTTTTACTTTTCGTCGTCGCAGTGTGTTTTGGCGCGAAATATACTAGTATTTGAAAAGTGTATGTACCGAATTTATCTACGTCACAGTTTTGTCTCTGCAGAGTTTTGGTGCACAGCTCGAAATGTTTGGATGATTTTCCGATGCGTGATATAATTTCGCTCTCATGATACGGCATTCAAGAGGGACAAATAAACCGTTCTTTTGATGCTTTTCGATTAAGTTTAGATTAGTTTGACTGGTTTAACTGGTATTTACCTGTGCAAGCGTTTCCGTCACCTGTGTACCCAATCTGACATTTACAATTGAAGGAACCATCAGTATTGCTACAATCAGCTTTTTCATCGCATGTGTGTGTCCCCTCAGAGCATTCGTTAATATCTGAATTCAAATTTATATATTTTTTTGTTTTAAAACAATTTTTGCACGTTGTCACTTGTCATTCATACTTTCATGAATGGAGAACCTGTGTACCCAATCTGACAATTACAATTGAAGGAACCATCAGCATTGGTACAGTTGGCATTTTTATCGCACGTGTGGGTTCCCTCAGAGCATTCATTAACATCTGAGTTGAAATTTATTACTCTAGTTAATCATGCAAACAATGACATCCAAAATAAAAAAAATAATTAGCTCAAATAATTATGCCAGTACAAGTCAGTGACATAATTATACCTTTACAAGTGACATAATTATACCAGTACATGCCAGTGACATACCTATACCTGTACAAGTGACATAATTATACCAGTACATGCCAGTGACATAATTATACGTGTACAAGTGACATAATTATACCTGTACAAGTGACATAATTATACCAGTACAAGTGACATAATTATACCTGTACAAGTGACATAATTATACCAGTACAAGTGACATAATTATACCAGTACAAGTGACATAATTATACCTGTACAAGTGACATAATTATACCAGTACAAGTGACATAATTATACCTGTACAAGTGACATAATTATACCAGTACAAGTGACATAATTATACCTTTACAAGTGACATAATTATACCAGTACAAGTGACATAATTATACCAGTACAAGTGACATAATTATACCTGTACAAGTGACATAATTATACCAGTACAAGTGACATAATTATACCTGTACAAGTGACATAATTATACCAGTACAAGTGACGTAATTATACCTGTACAAGTGACATAATTATACCTGTACAAGTGCGTCCATCCCCGGAGTATCCGTTAATGCAAAGACATTCATAGGAACCTAGAGTGTTGTTGCAATTTGCATTTCCGTCGCAATCATGGCTTGATTTATTGGAACACTCATCAATGTCTATTAAGTTATTACAAGAAAGTAAAAGTCAACAATGGTGCAAAAAGGTGACTTTTGTAACAAAATACCTATACTATCGTAGGGTTGCTAAGCTACTGGTGCATATGATACTTATAGGTTTCAAAAAAGTTTAAAAAAGTTTCTTGGGAGGAAATCTTAACGTGAAATTAGCACGGTTCTTTGCGCCGGCTCAGGTATAACCAGAAGTTTTCAACCTGAGCTAGGCTGTGAGCGAACTTTAGAATGCAGACAAAGAGTTGTAAAAATATGCGAAGACGCCACAATGAAAATCAAAAGTATTTGCAAAATTGTTGCAGTATTCAATTATACGTGTTTATATAGAGATACTTCCACAGACATCAATATTTTTTAAAATTTTGCTTACCTTGCGTTACCTAGAGGGAAAAAATAAAAACACATAAGTTAAGATAATCGGTAAACCTGTGAATATGGCATTGATCGCATTTTGGTATTTGTCAAGTGATAAGCTAAGGTCTAAGTTAACTTACTTCCAACCTACCGCGACGCAATATTTCCTTTCGTAAACTGTCGCGCATTTAGTCAGGCCAAAGAGTACGTATTATAAGAAGTGTAGCTAAAGAGATTATATTTGCATTTGTCCCAAATTGTACACGCCATGCACACGCCACGGGGACACTTGCTGGAAACATGGCTGCCTGTGAATTTTTTAATATTTCTGCCGTTTTACTAGTAATTTGTTGGCTTTTAATTGATATAAATTAATGAATATTTTTTTAAATTAATTTTTATCTTCGCAAATGGCAAAACATTAGTGAAAAGGCCGAGAAAGTTTCCAATATTTTTCGTCAAAGGTGGCGCCAACATGGCTAAAATATCATTTGAATATGTTATAAGTGCGGTCCTGCGCATCTGTTCTGCTCATAAATATCGTGGGGACTTATTCATGATTTTAAAAATTGCCTAAACTTTGCATACTTTAGCGAGAATATTGTCATGATTTTATACACGTAAATAAGAAAAAATAAATTAAATTATATAAAACTTCGTCTATTTTTACATGCTAAATCTTACCAGAACATCCTCATAAAATGTCCAAGTTCCATTCTTTTTCCTTGTAGTGTTCATTGTTACGGTGCTGTTGCTCAATTGACAGTTTTTGCTATAAATATTGCTCTCCGATCGGAAGTTGTAACCATAGCAATTTTTATGACTTGTGCAGAGAATATGGCATTCCCCCACAAGGTGGACATTGTGACTGGAGATCAAGTTTAAACGACGTATCGCTTTGTTTCCTATAATATTTTAATCAAAAAATAACAAAATTTACCACACAATGGCGAGGATTCTTCGCGTTGCGCTGCTCCAGGCCAGTTAGAGTACCAGCTAGGGTAGAAAGTTTTCAATTCAGCTGGTTTCCAATCCATTAGTATGAAAGTGTCACGTGTACGTACATTCCGAAGAAAATTATATGCATGCATGGTGTAGCGGAGTTCTAATCTAAGGCCCTGTCTACACGATGCTGGAAGAATTTGAAAACGCAAAAATATTTATCCGTTAAAATATTTATCCGCGTCCACACGTAAACACAAAAACGATCCGAAAACGGTAAAGTTATTTGATCCCGCAATACACCTGCATGTTTTCCACCCGCGTGTCACAGGTTGGATGTCGAATTCAAAGCAAAAATCTACCAAATCCAAATTAAAAAACAAAAATGACGACTTTGTTTGGACAGACGACAAGCCGGAACACATGAATATTGTTGTTGAGTATCTATTAAATGCATGTCGTGAATAAGAAATTGTGTTTAAACCATACTACGACATTTTGGAAATGTTTCTCTCGTAAAATACTTCCGCAAATACTAAAAGAATTGGCGAAGATTTTACTCACCATGAACATAACCTAAATAAGACTTATTTGAGGTTAATATAATAATATAAAGTTGAGCATAAGCCACCAGACTTGAAACAGCCTCATTAATATGGAAACGACTTGATACGTGACGTGATCGTTTTAAAATTTATCCGGCAAAGCTATCCACACGTATCCGCTCAGCCGTCCTTTTTAAATTCTTCCACTCTGGAGAGCGTTTTCAGTAGGCGAAAACGCCGGATACGTGTGGACGATACGCGTAACCGTAAATTCATTCTTGCGTTTTCAGATTCTTCCGGCATCGTGTGGACGGGGCCTAAACTCTCACAATTTTAACAATAAACAGTAAACCCGAACATGAGTAGAAATAAATAAGTTTAATATGCACTGAACGCATGTACATAATTATAAGACTTCTTCAATCTTAACTGAAAAAATAGCAAATTATTTTGAAACTATAAAAACATACCAACGATAATTTTCTTAAAATGTCGCCATGTACATGGTTTGTCGTCGTTCATGCAAGGTTGTTGTCCATGGGATAACGACAGTATCATCACTAATAATCCGACTAAAACATTGAGAGAATATGATTCAGGATCAGTTGTGTTTTTCAGTACAAGAGAACGAGATGAAGAACTGAGGCTGCATGCAGCCAAAAAACTGCGCCGAAACAGCTCTAAACACAATTTATATTGTATAACAACTTCAACAACTCTAGCAGGAAGTGCGGGCAAATGCATACAGTGGTTGGAACAGCTCCTTGGTAACTGTGGAGACGTAAACAATTTGATCAATTAATGTTTTAATTGCAAATGAACATCCTTTTGCTGTTATAAGTATACTATTTTATGCAAACTTAGTAAAACTCGTATGTATTTGTCCGGGTTCAAGAAATAAAAATTTAACGTTTAGACTAGGCGCACACGGTAACGTTTTCGAGCGCTTTCACTTTCGTTTCATTCCAAAACGGTTAAAAACACCGTCAATTTGCAATAGAAGTTGAAGCTAATTTAACATAATTATTAAGCATAATTCTTTTTCCTTGGATCTTGTGGACAGGCCGGGCGTCAAAACAATAATATAGACAAAAACGATTTTAAAGACGTTCGAAAACGACGCTCCAGTATAACGATAAGGTTTAACGAGTATAACTGACACAGTGGCGCAACGGACGAAGATGGGGCCCTTGTGTATATTTGGTGTGGAGGCCCTAGCTGTTTGTTATGTTTTCACTTGAAAAATAATTTGAGAGCTGAAGCTTGTAAATTTACATTAGTGTATTACTTCATTAGTTATAAAGTAATAGAACATGGATAATAGAATAGAAAATTCAGCCATGGTCGATGGATACTCTATTATTAAATCTACCATCATAATTGCTGCATTTTCCTTTGCAATCCACCTCATACCCTAGGCCTATCTTTGGCATAGAAATTTGTTTTTAACATGACTTTTTTATGGGATACACTGACACGCCGTTTTTCTTTAAGAATCGTGGCGATAGACGGCAATCAATGGGGGCCCTCTTGGGCCCCAACGGTCGGGGGCCCTTAGTTCTTGTCCTAACCCTACCATACGTCAGTTACGCTACTGAACTGATAAGATGTCCCCGATTAATAACAGCAGGAATGAACGATGTTGTTGTAGAAACAATATATAGCTATTTTAGTAAATCAATAATAAAATAAAGCTAATGAGGAAGCGTTCGTTTCAAAGTGTGCCTTCAGTTTTGGCAAAAACATATGTTTGCGGCGGCATGTCAGACATAAGATTTAATGGGCGAGGTATAGCTCATAGTATAGACTGTCTATAACCATTGTCTGTAATCTATAGAGACAAGTTGACGACGCGGCGGTACAGTGACTCCTTAACTTACAATGTCTAAAATTAATATAATGTCATTCTGTTGCTTTAGTAATAAAAAAATACAAGTTTGGGCTTGGGAGGAAGCGCTCCTGATTGTCACGTTCAAGCCCATAGACTCAGTTTTTGTAAGTTATTGTAATCATAGATCAATCGAATCGTATACTGTCCAACTAGCGTGTGTTGGTTGGTCAGGTTGATCTCTTAGATGCATGCTAGCTACCTCTTTCATAGTTTGTAGCGTGTGCGCATACATGACATAATGCGCTTGTGCGTAGTTGCAGAGTCTTAATGGGGAGAATATGGGAAAACGATTTAAAGGCCATTTAAGAACGAGTTTTTGGGATGAAAGATTGACCATATAGAATTACATCCTATAGGAGTGCTCCCCCCAAGCCCCATCTCCCACAAAAAACGCGTATGTGCATGTATGTGAATTGTTTTGCCCAGAAACCCCGCGTGATAGTAATCATTACAACGGCTTTGTTCATTAAGGCTTTTAAAGCTTTAGATTATAAGAATCCCTCATTGATGAATGTCATAGAGACCTATAATAATATTAGCCAAAAATTATTTAATATTTATATTAAAAATCGATAAAACTTACATTGTCGCATGACAGGAAATACACTCTTCAGTAATGCAGGAAATCCGAGCATTATTTCACGAAATTAAGAATATTTAACACGTGGTTATCGTGATGAGAGAACACTCTTCTTTGATTCAGTGTCTTATCATTTCTTTGCTAACCTTTGAAGAATAAACAATTCTTGTTCACTTTCATGTCATGCATGACGACGCAATTTTTTTGAGGTAATAATTGATTATATTAATAGCATTTAGCGCTCAAATTGTTTAACACTGACGTTACACTGTGACTATTTGAACAGTCAAGACATTGTATCCGCCAATCAGGTGATTCTGCTATCTCCTGATTGAATTTGTTTAGTGAAGTTGAGAGTTTTGCACAGCTGGGTGAAAGTAATTATATGAGCGTAAGGTCACATTTTGAATATATTAACATTTTAAAAAGCCTTTAAGAAAAATCGTTTCCATCTTGCAATCTTGTCATGAGATATTAAATCATCGTCATGACAGAATCCTCTTTTTGTCTTTGTTAGATACGCGTGAATGGCACAAGATGAATACAAAATACATCCCTCGGTCTTCGCTTTCAAACTTTCCTAACAGCCCGTGTTCCATGCACTGCGCGAATATATGTGGATTTAAAGGCCGACGCAGACAGGATGCTCGATGCGGCAATAAGCGACACGCATTTAAATTAAATTCTGGAAGCAAAATTTAGTTATATAGAATCTATGGACGCCAGAGCAGTAAAAAATTAATGTATTATTGTTAAGCAATCTACAATTTTTTAGCTTTTGGAGAAAAACCTTTGAAAAATCGCGCCGCGTTGCCAAATTGCGTCCTATCTGTGTGGGTTTTTACCGTCGCCTTAACATGCACCAAATATACGACGTGACGTAATACTACTGCGTGTTTCCAAAATTTCACAGCAGGCATGGAACACGGTACAATTTTCACTCTTTTTGGTTGACAAAGTCAGAGTCGTGTGTAAAACAAATTAAAACAGTCCGGTTCCTACTAAGTAACGGATGTTTTCCTTTGTCACCGCCGCGTTGTAGTTTTGTTGCAGGTAGTTTACAGTCGCTAATGCAAACAAACACCTCTTTTACATTTTCAATAAGATATTTCTAAATTAAAAATATCAAGAAAGATCAGAAAATTTGACTCTATTTTGGGTCGCTATATATATACTTCTATATGTATGAATTTATATTAGCACGTTTCTTACTTCTCTGAATATAAATTCATATTCATATAGAAGTATATCTTCTATATGAATATGAATTTATATTCAGAGAATAACAAATAACGTGCTAATTTTAAATCAAGTAGTCCAAAGTATCTTGTTTTGGCGAGTTTAGTAAGAATGGAACGCAATATATTTTAGCTTTGTTTCTGTCAAACTAATGTACATATATTGCTTTTTTCGACATTTTCCACTCTCGTTCATACTTCTTTATTGATTGTATACACAGGGTGTGATAGTATGTATATACTCTCAGTGTATCAGAAAAACGAAATTAACATAAATTTTACCTTAGACAGCTTTTTAGTTCGTAACTGCAAGGAATGTGACGAAATACTTAAAGACATGGTCTAATGGACCTTTTGCATCATAGACCAGCTTTTGATTTAGGCAACAAAAAGGACATACTAAATTTCGGAAAAGTGAAAACTGAATTTATTATATAATTTTTGATGAAGGAAAATTTATTATGACTCGATGCAGGTAAATTCCAGTAAAGGTTTAAAGGGTCTTAATTTCGAGTGGAATTATACACACTTCAAATTCGAGCCAAGAACAGTTGATGGAAAAATGAGTCAACTATCGGTCCTCCGGCAGGAATCGAACCTACGCTTTTCGATGCCGGTACAAGAGCATGCCGGTGCAAGGGCATGCCGGTGCAAGGTTCGATTGCTCATACTAAATTTAGTAAAATTGCCAAGTTTGGCTTCAAAATATTGTAAAGTACAGAAAATATAGCCATGCGAAGTTAGCAATTTGTATACTTTTTTACTGCGGTTGGAAGGGTGTAACTAAATTAGTTAAACGGTTCCGGCCGTAGTAAAAAGTATACAAAATATGCTACTTCGCATGGCTATATTTTCCGTAATACTTGCCATTTTGCGAGCATACATGGCAATTATACCATTTTGGTATGCTCTTTTTAGCTGGTGAGTTGTTTTCTTCTTGCTGCCTAGATCGTAAGTTGATCTATTATGCAAAAGGTCGATTGAATAGTCAAACCAAATTTTAAAATTCATTATTTGCTTGATAAGTGTATATATGTGCCAATAAGAATGTAATTTTAATTCGTACCATTAAAATGAAACAAAAAATATTGTTTTGGAGCAGCAATTTTTGACACACGATGAATTAGTTGCTTCTACTGGCCATCATGACACGAAATAAAATTTCTAGAAATTAGGCTAAATATTTATCAACCAAAACGTTTATTTTCTATACGCGAGGTTGGTTTCCAACTTAGCGTTCCATACTTAGCCCTGTCTGCCTTGTCCCTCTTCAGGGATTCTTCTTGACGCGTTCCCTGGCTGGAACGCCCTTCTGAATTAGGTCTTGAACGTCTAATGACTGACGAGTGAATTGACATGCACGACGTACATCAACGCATAGCATATTCTTGTTTCAAGCTTCAAAGCTGCCTAGCCTCGTGCAGGGGACGTCGCGACAATATTTACGGAAAACAACATTTTTAAGAATCTACTTTGAAGTATTATTAAAGTTAAAAAGTGCATGACTTTATATAAAATCATTTATCAACCATTTCTCTTTCGGGGATATTCGGCCTTCAGTAGTGTTTTTAAGTGAAAAAAGCCATCTCAGCGTTTAAATTTAACAAGAGCTCTAACTTTCGGCAATAAGTTATTCATACCAAGATACCACTTCATAGCAGCAGGTGATATTTTTTCCGTAATTAATATATGAACTCAAATTTTATTTTATAATGATCACACAAAACCTTAGGAATAACAAGTTATTTCGGCAGGGAATGATCAAAGATCTTACGTTATTGCGTGAAGCCTAGGATATACAGGGTGTCCCAAAAAGGTGACACTATAGAAATTATCTTAAACGCGCGTGATTACACACAAAGGAATTTGATAGAATTTTATATTAGACTAGTAATATATTACTACATATTCAATTTATCACTCAGACCCCGTTTACACCACACCGGATTCGGGTAACCGCGAAATGATGATAGCATTATTGCTTTAATATGATCTGCCAAATGAAGTTTCTTGCGCGAATAACGTACGCGCGCACCTCAAGTTTAAAACTTTTACTAAGTTGCTGCGTATAGTTAGTCTTATGCCAAAAACCCCCAAATAATCAACAGAGTGTGGCCCTATTCATCTATTCAATCGTTGGTTTCATAAGTATCATTTAAATTGTTTTAAATATTTAATTTACGTGCGTAGAGGAACAAAAAACGGGACCGTGGAATACAGCCCTGCGTCTCCACGACACCGGATCCTCTTGTCACGACATCTTCGTGTGCCTGTGTGAGGCAACGATTCTTAGCCAATGCTTAAGTTAAAATGAGTTAATCTGTGCCAAAGTATCTCAGAAAGAATGCATAACGCATTTATTTATCACAGTATTAGGGTGTGGAGATCTCTATAAATTATTGCCTTTTTTTCAAAACTTTTATTCACAGTTTATTAATACACTGCTTTTAGAAAAACCATGTTTCCATAAGAGACAGTTCTAGCAATTTAAAAGTAATAAAATATATTTTTTGCCAGTGACGTTTCTAGTCTTCATGTATAGAGTATAGAGCGTATTATGTCAGTACATGCACTTTCGTTTTAAATCGCTGCTTCAAACTTTTACAGACTTACCAAAAATGATGTTTTCCAAATGTTTTTAAGCAGAAGGTTGAGCTTCCGTGGTGGTGATAAAATCGTGAATGAAAGAAGAACAACGGCTTTGGTTTCAATTTAGTTGCTCTGCAGTTTACTGCATTCTTGAGGTGGGATGAAATGTTGTTGTATTATTTGCTTCTACAAATGTGCGGTAGTCAGCACTTATATCTTTATAATGACTTGTCGTTTGTTTGTCTTGAACTGGTGACAGTTTGCTAAGTACATATGATTATTTTTTTAACGACATCTGCATATATGTCAACTGTAAATGACGATATACTTGCCGTAACAATTGAGTTAAATTCGACATATTTTGTCGCATTTACCTAATCCATGCAAAATATTGGAAAACGAACTTCGTCTTTTGATGTAAACTAAGAATTCACGAATTTGATGAAAATTAGGTTGTTCACTTCTTTCTAGTTTTAGATAAGAATGTGGGAATTATGACGTGCGTGGGACAACTGTAATATATTTTATGCATATTCGTTCATGCGTTTCGCATGAACAACACCTGCCTATTAGCCTATATGCCGTCATCAAAAGTTATCTATATATATATATGGTTCATGCATACTGAAGTAGGAAGTTGGGGAAATTATTCATGTAGCAGTGTTTCGTCCTTTCTATAAGCTTAAGCGAATTCTCGTTATAAGACTGAGACCTGACCGGTGATTTAAATTAAGCCATTAATTTTTTGTTTGCACGTGCAGGTATGGCTAGTGGAATTATTTATGTGGGTAGTCACGTGCAATACACTGAGAGATATCTAGCTGTTCTATATTATGCCAAGCTTTGTATAGCAGTAACATTTCAAAATTAATCTAAAATTTTCTATTTTTGGAAATTTTGTTCCTGGGAAAGTTTACACTCTCTGGGTATATCTAGGTGTGCTTTTATTAATTATTGAAGATGGTAAAATAATTTACAAAATACTTTCAAATCCCTAAAACTTAATACCTAGTCTAGCTACTTATTTACATTAAAAATGAATTGTCTTAATTAATAAATGAAATTAAATAAATATATAAAATATAAGATAAGGCAAAAAAAAGGATAATCTATATATATATATAAATTTCCCAAAATTTGAGATTAAAAATTCCCAACAAAATCTATTGAGGTTATATGCTTAGTAAAAAGACAGTCCAGCTGTGTGTGAGGCTAGTGCAAAGTCCTC